CATTGGCCTTCTTGGCCACCTGGGCACACTGCTGGCTCCTGTTCAGCCGGCTGTCACCCAGCACCCCCAGGTCCCTCTCTGCTGGGCAGCTTTCCATGGGAGAAAGCAGCAAGGAAATTCAGGAGCCCTCAAAAACTCAGCCTGACAGATTAACCTCTGACGAGTGTGCATGTTTGCCATTCCATGCTCTGTTAAAAACATCATCCCCTTTACCTAAAAGATATGGAACCACCTTGCGCCAATTTGTGGTGCAGAACAGAAAAAAATGGTTGCTGAAAATTTAGGTCAGTAGCTTCTATATATGGTCTGTTTAAAAGCCACAGTAAAAACAGGAACATGGTTTCTTCAGTCCTGAACAAAATACACACAAAATGGAGGGAAGTCGGCTCGTACCTGTATTCTGTCTGTGTAATTGTCCAGAAGGAGGACTCCTGAACTGGTCACTTTCTTTGTCTCCACCATAGTCTTCAGATCAGCTAACAGACTCATATGCTTGGACATATCTGTCGCCAACACCTTTGCAGAAGGGAAAACACAATCTCAGCATGGGCAGAGACACACAAAGCAGACAGATCTTTGTTTCAGAGGAGGAACAGGGTGGGTATAGTCCGTACCATGTCGATCACCATCTTCCGGAGCGTTTGACGCTGTTTCTTGGTCAGGTTCTGGAAGATGTCACAGTGCTCCTCTTGAAGCAGTTTGAAACCCACAGCGAGATGGTGGTTCTCCAAGACGGACTCGTCATTGTACATCAGGGCAAGTTCGGAATCTAGCAAAGCAACACAAATACGTGACTCCAACATGTGAAATGTGTGATTTTGAGCTTGTCCTGGGTACTGAAACGTTTATCTGTATGCAATAAATAGGGAAAAATTCTTTTTTTGCTTCACATGTGCCAAGAGCGTGCAGTTTTCTAATCCGAGCACATATGTATATAATATAAACGGCCCTTTGCTCGCTTCTGATGAACAAAATAGTATTCGGTTGACTTAGTTACGGGCTTCAGAATCACTGACAACAGAAAGCATGAATCCTGCAAAGACACTTTCCAAAAAAGAACAATACCCATATTTTGGAATCAAGATACATGCCTAGCCTGTTGCAGAGCACAATATGAACCACAATATTTAGCTCCATCGTTGTCAATAGCAATAGCATTATTTATCTCGCATTAGAGATAAAATTTGCACTCAGGACTGCAAGAATTATGATGTGTTAGCACGTAGTAATATTCAGAAGATTCAAGGGCGCTTTGCAAATTGCACTACAATAGCTTCCTTTGTTAGGAATTTCATTTTAATTACTGCTTCATCTCAAAACGTCCGACTAGTTTACTGCAGAATATTTTGAGAAAGCAATGCAGCCTGAAAGTCATAATTTGTGACCTCGCTGTAATGGAAAATGCATTTCCATTAGTTTCCAAGTTTGCAGATGAAGTTATTATTGTCTTTGAAACAAAACTCACTTGTATTAATAAGAAATTGATTGGAGACCCCGGGGTGATCCACATCATGAATTGCAGCTGCAAAAATCGCAGCAAGGATTTCCAGATCGGTGAAGACAGCCTAGGAAGGAAAAAAAAATAAATGAATTTGTCAGGAAAGTCTGTGTGTTTTATCTCTCAACAGTTTGGGAGGCTGATTTAAAGAAACAAATTTTCTGAGGACAAAAAGAATTATTTCTCCTATGTTCACATAGGCAACATGGTGCTTTTAAACCGCCATCCCACCTTTAAACACAACAACTACCCAACAGGAAGCTCAAACTTGATAACTCACATCCAGGGCAGGGGTAGAGAGCAGAACGTGCGTGGACTGGGCAACATCAGCAGCATGGAGGCTGTTGTGGTAAGCCACGTCCGAATGGTAGTGGTCTTCCAGCGTCATCATGTACGTTACAAAAGTGTCTGATGAGATCTTGAATGTTTTCAGTAGGTCTCGCTCCTGTATAATAAATGGTACAAGCACACATGGATATATCAAGGAAGGATGTCATACAACCAACCAGAAAGCAATCAGAAAGCAAAACAGTGTTGTAAAAGAACAGCAAATTGGAGCAGAAAATCACGAACCTGAAATATAGCGTACATAATGCAGGTGAGCGGCCTGTTGTGGGAATACCTTGCGACGTTAAATATGTTGAGACCCCACTTGTTCAGATCTTCCAGTTCCTTTTGAAAGGACAAAAAGAGAACGGTTACAATATTTTTCAAGACAATTCTGCGTTCATCACTTGCACTGCGTCTTTTGCATTTTCCAAAAGTTTAAAAAGATGCAAATTCAGCCTTCATTATGGTAATTATGTATGTGCATGAACACGCATACTTAACAAAGTACACGAACACAGAGTAACTGTGAAGGGCTGGTGCCAAAGCGCTTGGACAAGGAGAGGACATTTCTCTGTGTGGCAGGGGAATTATTTGTGACATGGGTTTCCAGGTAGCAAGAAGAAATGCCTTGAGACAAACGCCCCACAGCCAGCTTGCTGGACATAGCATTGTTATACATTCCTGTGTTTGATAATTGCTCTCCTCAGCCTTCATTACTTTTTTAAAAAATTATTTTAGAGATATTTTCAAGGAATTTATGAACAGAGAGTATGTTGTTAGGGCCTGGTACCATCAATTACAGCATTGGTAACAGCCACATCACTTCCAACCAGTCCATCCCCAGCTTCCAGACTATACCGACTCTCCCAGAACTGCAAGAATCCGTCATACCTTGGCCAGATGGTCTTCCTTTTCTGTTTTCACACCGAATCGTGAAATGCTGGTGTTATTTAAGCTTGAACTATGCATTAATTTTTTCACGCCACTGATCTGTGTCATGAGCTGCTGTTTTTTCTTCTTCTCTCTGTCTTTCTGGGTGGGAGAAGGAATCTCCACATCATTCTGCTTGTCTGTAACAAAGAAAGGTGAAATGAGTCAGCATGGGTTTGCAGTGGAGCACCCATGACACCCCCCAACATTAACCCTTAGCTTTGCCGATGAAGTGGCTCTGCACACCAGCTCAAACCCGTGCGTTTCTGCCAGGCGCCTTCTGCAATTTTGAGGCTGAACTGAACCAAAATCAAAGCGAACCAGCCACGTAACCTCTGTTTGCCCTCTACAAGACTGAACCTTCCCACTGAGCCCTGCTGGGATGTGAAGAGACAGCCTGCTTTCATCTTAACCATTTTCAAGCTGCATCGCTTCCACATGTCCAGGAGCTAGCACTCTCCATGCCTGAACGGCACCAGGCTCTGCTTGTGGCTAGATCTCCATTCATTTTTATTACTTATTTTCAGGAAAATAAAACACATATTCAAACAACACTTTTTTCCTCAATAAAGTACATAAGTATTATATATTCACATTCACTCTATTGACACTTATTAGGGCCAAACCCATCTCCATACCCCCTGCTCTTAAAACACCACCCCAAATTGGTGACATTGATTTATTCAAGGTTTACATACGTTATTCTATGTATAGAATAACATGCAATGCACAGCCCAGATTCCCGTCATCACGCTCAGTGACAGCAGCAATATCAGTGCACGCTAGGTAGGCACCTAGTGGGGCACAAACTTGGCCACAGAGATGTGTTTAATAAATAAATCTATCCCCACGTGCTCCTTACTGCCTTTACAACTGATTCATCTGCTGCATTAAAACGGAGATCCGGTGGCTCCTTACTTCCACATCAACCATTTTTTTCATGAATTTCTAGAAAAGGCCACTCTGATCTCTTTGCACTTTTGCGTATCTGAGGATGTCTGGAGGGACCAGGCATCTAGGCATTAGTTACTTTTGCCTTGGCTTAATTAAAAATCTCTGCAATAAGAAGGACCCGTGTGCCTGACTGCAATTAAGCAGGAAGCCATTATTCACGGCAGCAGTCGAGCTGACATCAGTGGGCGTTTCCCTCGTGTGTTTTTTGCTGAACAACAGGAGGACTTTCCTCTGTATAATCTCCTTAGCAATGACTAAGGCTAAGGCAGCGTAAAAGGGACACTCGTGAACAGAAATCTCTCATTTATTAAGTAATGAACCTCAGGAACTTTGTGAATTCAGAGAAAAATCTCTTCGACCTATATAACATCCTTGTGGATAGCACGACAGAGAATCTGAGGGACATAAAGTGGAGCCCTCAGAGAAAAAGACAACGGTGTAGCTACACACTGTGTGCTGTTCCTCAGTGTACAGCACACGGTAGCCCTTAGGAAACTACGCAAATTAATCTTAAACCTTTAATTGGAGTTCTCGTAACGCTTAATAGTCAGCTAACAGATGCCATTTGCTGCCTTGCATACCCCCCATCAAAGGGCACAGAGGGATTTCTGTGCGTTAGGCATTATCACACTGACGCTCCTGACTCCTCGGACACCCAGCCCTTCCTCCGAGATGTCCCTGCTCCTGCAGATCTCAGCTGTGACCTCCCCTGCGGCCGGCGAGACCTTCCCACCACTCCCACAGCCGCTGGAAGTCAGAGTGCTGAAGCAGGGGGCCCAGAGCACCGGGGAATCTGCTGCGGTTGCAGGACGCTGCCCGGTCAATGTCGCTGCCTGCGGGCCCGCAGCGGGCTGGGGACTGCTTCCACGTGGCTTGGCCACGAGGGTGTCCCCGTGGTGGTGGCACAGCACCCCTCAGCCCTTAGGAAAGGGCATGTGCTGAAACGCCATCACGATGTTGCCCGTTTACGTGATGCGGCCAACAATAAAACCACTGTTTGTCATCTGTGTCCTTCAAACGGATCTAAAGCTGGTGTCCTTGCTCTCGCCGACCAGTGGCGACTGCAGGGCTGGCCCCGCTGCAGAGGACATCGCTCCTTGGTGCCTTCCTCAGCTCATTTCATAAAGTCAAGAGACTGAACGAAGTCATGGGATCTGTTTTTAATATCTTCAAGTTATCCCTGTCTTACAAACACTATTTGGAGATAAATCATGGAATGGTTTGGGTTGGCGACCTTAAAGCCCATCGAGTTCCACCCCCTGCCATGGGCAGGGACATCTGCCGCTCGACCAGGTTGCTCAAAGCCTCAGTGACCCATTTCGTTCTAGCCACATTGTTCTTTTCTTTCTGTTCAGCTTCCTCAGTTGTAAGCTCCTGTTATCTTGTATGTTCTTTTAATTTTTAAACCAAATTTTAAGGGGGAAAAAACTAATTCATAAAAATGTAACAGCATGACTTCCTAAAAAGGGCTCTAAGATCCTTTTAAGAGCTTTATTCATTCTTTTCTAATATGAGCAATCAAGCTGCAATCTGGCCCAAGCTGGAGAGCCTGCGCCACTCAGCATTAGCACGGCCCGAAGCGGTTGAAGGGCCCTCATACCGCCACAAACCGGTGAGGACGTCACCGGTACGGAATATGTGAGAAGAAGCAGGATAGCAACGAACAAGACCATTGTCAAGACCTGCGAAGGGAACCGCAGTTACCTGACCCAGCCGAGTACAGGGAACAATACAGCCCTATTAGCAGCAGCAGCGGCTTCAGCTAATTAGCCCCTGCTGAGATCCAGACTCCACTAACGAAGCGTGTGTCTGGTTTATTAGCTTTATATTCGGTCCACAGTATCAAGCCACATTGGGAATTTCTGCTGCGGCACATCCTGCTCCAGGGACATATGCCTACTGGCAAGAGCTGAGAAACAACAAACGCCCTGAAAATGCCACGGTGGTCACGCTCCCCGGCGCGCTGTCTACGCTCCAGGCTCTGCAGCTGAAGAAGTGGCCCGCTGGCTGGCAGCGAGGCAGTCCTGCTTCTATTTCGTGTATGAATTCATGTTCCGGATGTCATGATTAAGCTGAGCGATAAGACAGGGCCAATGGATTCCCAGCAAAGCAGCTACAGACTTATATGGGTCATTAATGATGTGATGCATCCTAAATGCACACAGTAGTTCCAGTTGCAACTGGCTGCTGGGATCACTTTAAAATCCCTTAATGGAAATAATTGTGTGTCAGGCAGTGAATGCATTTGGGGCCATCGGAACTGCAGGACATGAGTCCCCCTCGAGCGCTGGCATCCCCCAAACACGCAGCGTTTGAAGCTGTCGGATGCAAAGATAAGTATAGGAGGGTCCTGTGCTCAGCTTCGGTTTAAATGCAAATGGCCACAAATTCTAATGCTGCTTGAAAACACAGAAAATGGCATTTTTCATAGCAAATAGATTTTGTAAATACAGAGGATTAATTCATGTCAGTAGTCCTGTGAACTCCAACAAAACTAATGAAATGCAAAATATTCTCTTCACCCTTTATTCTGGCTTCTGGTGCAAAATGAGGAAATGCACACAAAATAATATATGAAATGTCTGGGCTGGACCCCCTTGTCTGAACCCTGCCTCCGAAGGGGGAAGATGCAGCTGTAAGAGGCAGTAGTTGCAGAGATGAGAGTATGCAGTTGGAATTTTGCGACTTTGCCCTTTATGTAAGGTCAACACTCAAATCAAATATTGCATAATGCAGCTACCAACAGCTTAATTCAGTGTGAACAGAAAAATCTTTGGATTTGGAGAAGGAATTCTTCTGTGGATAGACTTATTCAAACACTGTATTCTTTTCCTCCCAATATCCATTTTGAAAGTGAAAAATTAAAACATTCAATTAATGCTCTGTCCCAAAGGAAAACTGACTGATGGGTACTGGGCTGCCATTAATTGTTATCTTTGTGTCACCCGAAAGCTTGGGGTGTGACGCCTTACCCAGGAAAGTGTTGGAAATGTACTCGGACACCTGGTTGCCGGAGCGGCTCATCTCGGAGAGGTGTGTCAGCTCCCGGTTCAGCATCCTCTTGAACTGGAGGGGAAGAGCACATACACAAAGATGGCATTTTTCTGAAAGCTTTTCCGAATTCATACAGCTCTAGCTGCATCCTCACAAGCCAGTCCACAAACAAGACATTAAAAGCAAAATTACAGAGATATTTGGAACAGAACCAGAGACATATGGTTTCATTTAGGTACTGCTCAGCATCATCATGTCGAGATATTTCTTTTCAGAAAGAAAATGAATTTCCTCCGCAGATGCATATTAGTCTGTACTGTAACAAATGAGAAGATAACGTTTCAGGTAATCTCTCTGAAAGATCAAATTCTTGTACAGGTTTTAAACACCACATCCCATACCCTCCTTTTGTTCTGAATTTGGTAAGTTTGCTCCATTTTGAATTATGCAAGTACAAGACAAGTGCATATCTTCCGAACATAACAAAGGAGAAAGATGCCATCAATCTGAAGATCTGCTTGCATCATCACAGTAAAACGCAGGATTCGAGCATTTCTTCACCCAGATAGACATGCTACAACCTTCCCCATTTTCTAACCACACATTTTCATTGCTGCATCATTTTATCCCACAACGGTGAATTCCCAAAGGAGAAAAAAAAATTTACAGACATGTACGCCGCATGCACAGTACACACACATGTTCATCTCTTGCCATACAGAACACATAAAGAACTATCTAAAAAGCATCTTTTCCTTATAGAGGCTTTATCCAAGCAATAGAGCACAAAAAAAAACAGCTCCAGGATTTAAACCCACCTTAATATAACCCCAAGATACAGATAACAAATAGTTTGCTTCAGGCATTTTGGAAAACTCCACGCCAGCGTCCACAAATCCTGACGGAGAAATCGCCGGTGAGACAGGAGAGCTCCTGGGGCACACGGACACCCCCCTTCCCCAGTCAATAAAAAAAATCAGCAGTCATCAAAGCCGGAGATCCCCCAAAGCCCGGCGGTTGCTAATCCCAGACAAAGCCAAGCTTGGCACAGCATCTTTGCAGAGAGCTGAACGTGGGTGTATTTGCTCGCAGGAGAGAATAATGAAATCAGGGGTTGCACGAAGAAACGAGAACTAATCCAAACGTCTTCAGCCGGGTGGCTGGGAGCACTTATGAATTATGAATCGTCCTGGTTGCTTAGCTGGCTGAAGGGGGTCCCCACTCCGCATTAGCCTTGCTCAGCTGAACTGCACGACAGAAAAATGATGCTGGTTTCGGAGGGGCTGCCAGCTTTAGTAACACAGCCATCTTTTTAGAAGGAAGATTAAAATGGAGGAAGCTCTGTGCATATTTAAATAAGTCCAAAGTAGGCAGCAGTCTCCTCTCCATTTCTGCTTTTTTTTAACCCTCTTCACTACAGAGACTGAGGATTTTCAAAGCAACTATTCACATCTGGGTTTTCTAAAGCATAATTTTTCACGGTTTCAGTGTGATCTAATTTTTTCCCCTCTATGTAGTAGAGGGCAAAATGTAGCAATGTGGGGAAATGTACCTTCACAGACTGGAAATATTTTTCAGGTAAAAGGTGTAAACTAACAACAAGCTTAAATCTGTAATGTCAGTCTGCAATCGCAAGATAAGATTTCCGCAAATTCTTTCTTACAAGCATATATTCCTAATCCAAATTTCAATATTTAATAATGAATTTTTATTTTAAACTGAAGGGCACTTTCTCAGGAAGCTGTAGCTGTCCTCTGAACACCAAATCAAAAGCCAGGCGCACCGTACTGCGTGTGGGATACAGAGCGCAGCAAGGAACCGCCGCCGATGTGCAGCACCCACGCTGCTCCAGGGCATCCTCGGGGACTGCTGGCTGCAACGCGCCACGCGACAGCGGCCAGGATTCCGAAAGAAAAGTGCAGTCTCTGGCCTAAAATGATTGCCTTTCTGTGACTGCCTTATCATACCATCCCATGGGATACGGGCAGGAGCGGGATGGGAAGGATGCTGTCTGATGGGATACAGGCAGGAGCGGGATGGGAAGGATGCTGGCTGATGGGATACGGGCAGGAGCGGGATGGGAAGGATGCTGTCTGATGGGATACAGGCAGGAGCGGGATGGGAAGGATGCTGTCTGATGGGATACAGGCAGGAGCGGGATGGGAAGGATGCTGTCTGATGGGATACGGGCAGGAGCGGGATGGGAAGGATGCTGTCTGATGGGATACGGGCAGGAGCGGGATGGGAAGGATGCTCTCTGATGGGATACAGGCAGGACCGGGATGGGAAGGATGCTGGCTGCCCAGGAGGGCATCTCACAGTGCTGGGTCATGGGCTTTGGCTCACAGGGTCTCCGCTAAACGTCATTCCAACCAAGAGGGACAAAAGCGTTTTTGAAAGTCCTAAGAGAAACCTTAGTGATGGAGAACAAGCAGCAGCAAGAATGAAAACCAAATAAGAGAAAACCCGTGGGAGTAGAGGAGAGCTCTGACCCTGTCATTCCTCACAGTGACGTATTTTTGCCGGTCACAAGCACCAGGCACCAACACGTGAGCACTCCCACAGACTTACAGTGAAGCATGCGCCGAAACATTTCTCTGGACTGCGGCCTTTATCGTTACAAGGAAAACACCATAATCAGATGATCACACAAACGACGTCTAAGCAATGTTGAATCAGTTGGGGTCTCTACATAATCACGCCTTTCAGACAAATAATCCCAAGTGCTGGACAAACATTTGAAAAAAATGCCTGTACCTCACAGCTGGTTCATAAAGGACAAAGGGCAGCTGCTGCCTTTTCACAGAGGCGCAAAGCAATCCACTGGCCTCCACAAGGTCACCCAAGCCATCTGCGGCATTGATGAGGACAGATAAAAGACCTTGGGATTCTCAGATCTGATCCTTCACCAGAAATCTGTCCCTTTCATCTCCTCCAACAGCCTTAATCTCGCTCACTTTTCCAGACTTTTAATCAGCAACCTTTTATAAACAGCAGACAGCAGCATTACAGCACTGCTGGAAGGGCTGTTGGTGCCAAACCCAGCCGAGACACCCACGGTGCGATGAGAATACCCACATGCTTTGCAAAGTTTATTGCAATTTACCATCTGAATGATGCTGGCACCTAAGCAGGATTTACTTAATAAGACGATATACCCTTTGAAAAACCTCACAGTTCGGCACGGACCGGGGAGCGCTGATGGCGCACTCAATAACCACAATGTCTTCGCTGCTTGTGGGAGGTTATTTGGGATTTTTCCGGAGCTTCCCTTGATGTCAGGACGCTCTGGAGCGACACTGCTTCCTCTGAACTGCTTTGCCATTTGCCTGCGGTGCCTGCGGGGAGGAAAGCACGTTGCCGCCTCTCTGCACAGATCGATGACTGATGTCATGTGCAAACCTCTGCAACGATCCCTTCGTTAAATCGATCTGACAGCAAAGGGTAAAACAAACAGATTGCACGCTAGCAATGAGGAAATACCAACTGCTCTGCCATTAAGCAAACAGAAGCGTTGCTGCTTTCAAGAGCTCGGTGCAGGAGCACAGCATGGCCCTCAGCTCGGCAATTATGATAATGCCTATCAGCAACATGTGGATGTGTGCTGTTATTTTCATAATTAATAATCATCTCGGTGCCTTTTACAAAGGAGATAAGCACCGATAACCTCGCTGTACAGATGGGAACCGAGGCACGCAGAAGAATACACGTGCGCGCACACGAGGATGTACGCAGGAGGGGACGCCCGCCCCGACCCGAGGCGGTTTTCCCCTTAAAAAGAAGCAAAATCAGGAAGCAGGCATGGGGCTCCCTTCTCTCTAGCCCAAACGCCGATCACAGGACCATGCAATTAACATATTCAACAGATGAAAAGAGTGCAGATAATGTAAATAAGATGAAGTTGCAACTGAAATTTCTCATAACCAAACACACATGGAGACACAGCTGACCTTCCCAGCAAGGCTCAGAGGTCTAAAACCATCTGGAGGGTTGTGTGAGAAAAAGCCATCGCATCGCGTGGAGCTTTCTGGTTTTGCATGCTCTGAAGTAACTGCAGAAGTCATCTGAAGCGAATTAAGGCTCCCAGAAATTGAATCATGCCTTGATTACCAGCAGTGACCCTTTTTCTTGTATTCCCTGGTAAAGGGAATCACACTTTCTTTCCAGTCGTGCATGTGTGCAGTAATTTCCTTGATGACCATTGGGAAGGTTCACTCACAGCTCCCCTCCTGGCTGCCCACACTGGACCCTCGCTGCTCACGTTTGCTCTGCACCGGCCGTTGCACTATTTGCTTTCACTTCTCCAGCTGCAGCGTGGGGCTGAGCGCTGGCCCCAGCACAGGCTCGGCGAGGACAGGATCACGAGGACCTCTGCGGGCACACGGGAGGGCGGTGGCATCGGTACCAAGAGCGGGGCAGCTCCTTCGACCACTCAACAGCTGGTCCTTCACCCCATCTTAACCAAACGCTCTGCAGGCAAAGCCTGCTTGCCTTTATTTTTGTAGAGAAAGAAAATTTGCCCTGATTTATGTCAGGATTTGCCAGATTTAGGAGCTGAAGCAGGCTGGGAGCATGCTGGCTCTGTGGTCAGCGTGTGCGGTGTGGGCAGCCAGGCACGCCATGGGAAACCTCCCCTGTGCTTCAGTGTGGAAAATCCCACCTTTCTGGCTCTTTATGGAAGAAATGACTCTCTGCCCTTCCTAGGAAGAGAACCACACAGCGGCACACACAGTTCTCAGCCTCTCCAGCCCCACGCCGGCTCCAGCGATAGTCCTGTTCTTAGTCCTGTTGTTATTCCTGTTCCTGTTCCCCTTTGGAGCACAGCATCAGAGGTGCTCCTGATGCTTTATAGGGAGAATAAAGACAGGAGGATGTATCTGCTGCTGATGTAAGTCCTTTGAAGTCGATTTATACCAGCTGGGGTTCCCTGAGGCCAAGAGTCCTTATGCAAAGAGGCTGCTTAAAAAAAAGTTTTAGTCATTTGCAGGAGCTGAGGGCAATTGCAAGATAAAAGAGCTGCTAAGATGCTGTGGGGCTCCAGCCTGGAGTATCTAGGGAGAGTGGGGTCCCACCCCGCACTTTGATGGAGGAATCTCGGTGCAGATCTCCAGTGTGTAAAAATGTTTATAAACCCTGTTCCCGGCGACCCACCCTTCTGACGCAAACATGACATCCCTCGCTCTTCCACGGCTCCTAGAAATCCCCAGAACAAAAGGATCTGTGGTAGGAGGGTTACTCTCGCCTTTGATTTCCACGCAAAGGCAGCTGGGCTGAATCCTTCTCAGCTTAATTGCCAGAGTAAATGACTGCAGGTCCAGAGGCGCACTGAAACTGTGGTGTAACTCCATTCGTTTCAACAGCTCTTCTCCTGGGAATAATCGGATACCCAGCACCGGCAGCTGGGAAGAGCTGACACTCACCTGCCCGTGTGAGAGAGCGGGAACCAGAGTCCAGCCGGAAATTATTCACACGCAGGAGGGAAATTACTCATGCGTGTATACGGCAACCAGGTCAAACAGCAAATGTGTAATGCTTTTGTCTGGACTTCTGGCTGCTGGAGGGGAATGGATGTGACAGTCATGCGCTACTGCAGATTTAAAAAAAAAATGAGATTAATCTCAATGCCTGCGTTTGAGAAGCTAGAAGAAATATTTGTATTTATACCTAGCTCTCCCTTCCTGACACGGATACCTCGTTCCTGTATTGCACAGGCACACCTAACCCCTCGGCAGACAGAATTCCAGGAGCTGGGATTTGGCCTGAGCACAGGCAGAGAGGCTCAGAGGGTGCGACCCCTCCCAGGACAGCGGTCGGTACCAAAGCTGGACACCCCCTGCTCACTCCTGAAACAGGCAGGGAGGCAGATCTCTGGCACACAAACACTTTTTAACTCTCAGAAGGAAATTTTTCATTACCCTGTTTT